TGGGACCGAAATGGGAAGGCCCATGTTGAATTATTGAGATCACCGACAAAGGATCGTACAAACTTGAAACGCCAAACGGTGAGCGGCTACCGAACAACTGGAACATAACCCACTTAAAACGATACTACTGCTAAGGTACGACCCCATTTATTACCTTTCTTTAAATATATAACGGATTGTACTAACACTTGCACGTGACGACCAAGGAATGATGCAACTATTAGGCCTGAAAGAAGGCGTTGCACTTTTTTTCCCTTGAAAGGATTTTGTCCCAAATGGGTTTTCCGGCAAGGTTTTTAATGAGGTAACAATGGATCATGCTAACTTAGAATTGAAGACCGACTATGAATCAGAGTCAAGGTTCACATCAACAGTATCCAAGCCCTCTCAAAGATTGGCCTTGAATACTAGGGGTCATCACCCTCGGATAATGATTTTAGCAAGGAAGGAAACTTCATGCTCAAACAAGTCTAGGCTTGGCGGATATGATTTGTTGTAAGGGCCAAACGGTCAAATGAGTCGTGCCCACATAGACCACTTAAGCCACAACATGAAACGTTACACGTTCGCAATCTTGTATTTTGCATAGAAATAAAAGAAAGTTTCTACCTTGTAGATACATATTTTGTCTCTTAAAAACTACTGAATTTTATACCTTAAGGACATCGGGACCAAGGGCCACCTCTATCTGAATCCAAGAGATCACCTCCGCTCGGGGACTATCATCATGGGTAAGCCCGGACAACTCGGGCTACAAATACCGGGGGCACAAAACCTATTAGGCATTGCCCAAACTTCAAAGGCTTTGGCCATCCCTATTTCAGGATTGTTGTTCTGGACAAGCCCGGGTGGCTCGGGGTAATAAGCCCATTGGGAAACACCCGAACTTAAAAGGCTACGTCCATCCTAGAATGGCTCGGAGACGTCCGAGATCCGTTTCCAAAACATAAGGCCTTCAAAATTTCTAAACCAGTTCGGAGGCTACCCTCGGCAAAATTATAAAAATTTCTAAGTAAACACTTCGGGGAAAGCTTTTGGTCATACTAAGCCCCCACGAGTCTTAAGCAAAATAATATCGAGAACGAACAATGTTCGAACCTCCGAACAAGACTTATTATTACGTGCTAAGGCATCCGAAATCTTTGCAATCATAAAGTAAAAAGCAAAAAGAAACAGGCTTGAAATTTGCCGAAGGGAAAAAGCCTTGTATATATAAATTTTTACAAAGGCCAAACGGCCTCAACAAACTGCGAAAGTACAAAAGCGAAGAAAAATCTACAAGGAACCTAAGAAGCCTAATCTTCGCCAGAGCCCGCCTCGTCACCCACCCCATCAGGGTGTTCCCCATCCTCGGACTCGCCCGAACCCTCGGAATCTTTCCCATCTTCAGGGTACGCCAACTTCTTGGCCTCGGCCTCGAGCCTCTTATAATTTTTGAGCTCGGCCGATAAATCGAACCCCAAAGAATGAACATCCTCAAGAGCCTCCCATCGGGACTACCACTTCACATATTTGACAATGGCATTTAGGCGTTCCTAAGTTGCCTCAATATCGGCTTTGTACTGGGCCACCATCTCGTCAGCGTCGGCCCTAGTTGTTTTCGCCACTGACTCGGCTGCTTCAAGCTCCCTGGCAAGGGTATCCCGTGCGGCAATGCCCGAGCCCAGTTGAGACTAGAGGTCTTCAATTTTTCGATACCGGATCTCATCTTTCCCCTTCACCGATTGAAGTTGGGCCTCCGCCGAGGTCAGCTGCTCCCGGGCAGTCTCCTTTTTCCGAAGCCAATCGGTCCATCTTGCCCTTCTACTCCTCGGACATGGCCTTGACTTCGTCCATCTCAGCCCGGATCTGGTCGACCCGATCAATCTTCTGCTGGACATGTGGATTCTGACCATTAGACACCGTGTCTAGCTCATCATTGCTAACTTCAAAGATTTTTACCTATTTCAATAGGTCGGCGTGTTCTTTCTAGGCCGCGTCCAATGCGACTCGGAGGCTCTTGACTTCTCCTTCACGTTGCTCGTTGAGAAGCTTATACATGCCTCTCTTCTCAACAAGCTATTTGACTTCGGCCTCGAGTTGGCTCAGCTCATCCCGGTACCGGAGGAAGGTTTCGTGGTGGAGCACCGAGGCCTACAAATACGAGAAGAGATATTAGAATTATCAAGAATAAATTCAAATATTAGAAGAGATATTAGAATTATCGATAATTATCAAGAATTACATGGTTCAGCACATGTTGTGCTTCGTTGAACAGGCATGACGCATCTACCTTGTTCATTTTGGCATGTTCTTCTTCGGTTACCAAACACCGGAGGTAACTAGCTATCCCTACGGGAGTAGAAAGGATCTGTGCTCGGAGTGGGGAACCGATTGGTCAATATCGGTCTCAAGCTCGACCCACCAGCCTCTGAGGGTGGACGTTTCCCCGGCACCTCTAAGTCACCAAAGCCAGTAAAATCCTCCGGGGTGGATGAGTCCACACCATCAAAAATGCCTTGGAGGGGATCATCCGCTCCATGGACCCCTTCATGAGATCGCTCCTTCATCGTTCGGGATTCATCAAACATTGATTCTGTGAACAAAGGCGACCCCGAAATATCTATAACGTCGGGCGGGTTAGGGTCGGTGTCTCGCGAGTCTTCGGCCCTTACTTCGGCATCTGCCTCGCGAACTTGAGGTGGATTCGCTTCTATCGTGTCCCCCTCAACTGCCACCCATTCCTCGGGGATAGATGGCTCATGGGCCATGATGATTTCATCCTCCTCGGGCTCGTCTCTAAGCCGGAAAAGTCATTCTGAGTCAAGCACTCGGGAGCTGGAGGTTTCCTTTGGCTTACGAACCAGCCTCCTTCTCGTTTTCTTTTTCTCCGAGCTCGACAAACTTGGGGGCCTTTTTCTTTTCTTCTCCCCTGCTGCGGCTCCGGGATGTCCCGAAGCGAAAGAATCGGTAGGTAAGTCCTCATCCCCAACCGAGGGCCTAATCTCGACGGTCTTAGGCAAACCTGCAAAAGAGAAGTAAAGAAAAAACAATAAGGATGTAATGCTATGAGAAAAAGACTAACTCAACCTACTCAGGAAAGAAATCTTACCATGGGAACGGGCCTCCCAATGGACCTTCGAGAGTTTACACCACGAGCGCTCGGTGTAGGGCATCTGTGAGACAATACCTTCGACCCACTCCTTGAGTCGAGGGACAACATTTGAAACCCGGGCTACAGCTGCACTACCATGAATACCAATGAGAAAAAGAGAGATGAACATGAAATCAACATTCGAGGGAAAGTTTTACTTACGTGATGCATTCCACTTCTCGAGAAGTGGCCTGAATTCGGCCGGGATCAAGTCCGAGGTCCTCACCCGGACAAAACGACCCTGCCAGCCTCGGTCCCGGTCCTTATCGATACTCAAAAATGGGGCTTTGCTTGCTCGGCAAACAAGCTTTATCAGTACCCCTCCCCCCGAAAGATTCAGGGACTGTATAAACGGAGCATATGATCAATGGTGAAAGTGCACGAATCGATTTTATTCACAAAAATTCGGAGGAGGATCACGATCCTCCACAGTGAAGGGTGAATTTGGCCGAGACATACCTCGTACCTCTTGCAGAAGTTTATGATGACCGGATCCACCGGGCCCAAATGGATGAGTGTAGACACTTAGGTATCCTTCAACATGTGTAGTAATGGACTCCTCAAAGTCGGGGACCACTATGACTTTATCAGCCCAGTTATAGTCCTTTCGGACTAAGGGGAGATCGTCTTCGGTGATCGAGCAAATATATTTCGATGCCTCCTCACACTGACCCTATACTGAGGAGGGTTTCTCGACCTTGAAGTCATCAGCAACCGAACAACCCCCGGGAATGACTGACGAGACATTTCGGGCTTTTTGTCGTTTATGTCACGGTGTATTGAAGAAGGAATCGGGATGCTCATTTGGTTTTCGCCAGCTTGCTTTCCGAGAAATAAGGGGACTATCTGTATACGGGTAAAAATCGAGCTCATGATACACTCCGGCCTCTAACAGGGTAAAGCGATCTCGATATATGATTGCGAAGGATCGGAATCGAAGCAAGGGTCTCATCGAGTCAGGGTTAGGGGGGGCGATTGTCTGTCGTTGAGAATATCGGGGTCATGATTCAAGATCGTTCCAAATACTAAGAGACTTCGGAAAACATTGTCGGGTAATCAAACACGACCAACAGAAGGCTGTAATATCCGCGATCGGCCATATATCATGGCGTGGATCTCGACACGCATCAATATAGAACCGGCAATCAGTTAAATAGAAGAATTTTTTACCTTTTATAGAGTTGTACTTAGAGTAGGATTCTCCTACTATATAAAGAGGAGTCTGATAATTCATTAAACGCATTGTAACACGCATTCCAAGGCAAGATACTATTATTTTCACTGTTATTCTAAGCTTTTTCTTTTATTCATCAATAATTCTCACCGTGAGCTGAATCGAGGGTGAATATTTCAATAAAGTTGGAATCATCCTACTCGTGTGGTTTGAATTTACTATATTTTTATTTGTTCATTCTAACCCAATTTATCGTTTTGTATTAAATTAATCCGCATATCCTTAAAATCACTTACAAATTTAATTTTTATCCGATTTTGAAGGTAAACAATAACCACCCATGCTCTAATTGATATTAGGTGGTGTGCAGAATCTGTTGGGAATTCCGCCAAACAAATTCAAGAGGATATCGGGGTTCGGGGAGGGGCCGGACCACAAGGGTCTATTGTAAGCAGTCTTACCCTGCATTTCTGAAACAGCCTCTTGCAGAAATACAGGGTAAGACTGCGTACAATAAACCCTTGTGGTCCGGCCCTTCCACGGACCCCGCGCATAGAAGGAGCTTAGTACACTGGACCCCGCGCATAATTGAGGTCAATATCCGTCAGCCTTTGTAAGACATCTTCTTCCTTGATTTACTTCTTATAATTGTTGCTTGTAGTTGTAGTTCTGTGTCCAAACTATATGATAAGGCTAAGGCTTGTTTGCTACTTGATTATATCTATATTCAGTTTGGAAGGCAGAAGTGAATGCATGTCGTTTTTTGCTTTAGTCTGAGTCTTATCTCAGTTTTCTTGGGACTTCAATTCTTATGTATTTTTCTCTTGCTTGCGACACACAATGTTTTTCACTTTATTTGGATCAGGTCTCCGATTGTCCAACGGACTATTGCGCTTCTGCTGGTCAGATATTTATTGCTTAGCATGATGAAAGATCTGTGTTTTGGATACTGAGTGAAGGTTTTGTTTAGGGGTTCACCCCTTTCGCCGGAAAATTACATTGCGCGTGTAAGGCAAAATCCTATTTGTACCTCTATATATTATATTTTGAATCGCATTGACATAACCCAAAGGCATAGCTTAGTGTTCAAGGGGTTCAAAATATTTGTAATGTCACTGGTTCAATTCTTATTGGCCACAATCACTTTTAACTTTTTCTTTTTTTTTAACCCCTTAGTGGAAAATCAGATAAATTGACTGATTTGGTCCCTCTGCTCACATCATTTTATATTCCAGTAGATATATCGCGATGTTGGAGATGTGGCAGATTGTTGGAGATAGAAATCAACTGATGACACTATTACTTTTACTGGCGGAAAAAGTGATGAATATTATCCTTGTCCAGGTATGATTATATTGTTAATACATTTTTCTTTCTTTCATGGTTGTGCAAATTCTGCTTGCTTAACTTCAATTAGGCATTGCAGTTCCTTCGAATGTGGCACCAAACCATATTCAAAAGACAACTTGAATTTGCTTAATGGAAAGTTAATCTCAGCTTTAGAGAGGCTTGAACTGCTAATCGAGGTATGCTCCTCTCCACTCCCCTGAAACCACAACCTACTCCGATAGAAGAAAACAACATAAATAAACAAAAACCTAACTCATTTCTGTACTTGTTACTTTCATATGGTAGAGAGGTTATTTCTGATAGACCCTCGGCTCAAAACAAGCATATATAATCATATAGTATATAGAAAGAAAATACAGTAGTATGAAAGTCAGGGAAGCAATAATAATAACAAGATAGTAGAAAAACCAAAACACAAGCAACATCGGATAGTAATAGCTCTTGTTCAGAGACATGTAAACTTTTTATACCTGTATGGCAATGCTTGTTATAATTTTCTACCGTTCCTTAATTTTGGGGAAATGATTTCATATTTTTTCCTTTATTTGTGTGCTGTATAAAACGGGTCATGGCCTTAAGGTGTTTCAAAGATTAGCTAGTTTTCCGAAAGAAATATCGAGGTGTTTGAGTGGCCATCTCCTTCCTTTATTTTTTCCTTTCTAAACTTTTAGCATGGGGTAGGATGAATTTGGATGGCCTGTAATTCAATTGTATATTAGGAGTACCTTTTATATAGTGTCTGTCCTATATAATTTTTTATCTTCCAATCCGTTGTACATATTGTAAAACACACAACATGCTCTAGCGTGCTATAGATTTGAGTGATCAAAATCTATTACAAAATTTTAATATATATAATCATTAAGATGCTATCATTCACTTTTATTACTAACCATTGCCGCCATCTATCATTATCAACTACCATCACCACCCACAATCACATACCATCCTCAATCACAAGCACTACCACCAAATCACTGCAATCAACAATCACCATCACTAGCCACATGTTACAATTCATCATCACCAACCACCATTATCATACAGCCACAGTCACAATGACAATCACCACATCACCCATCATTATATATCGCAAATTATAGCTATCAGTCACCATCACCATTAGCAATTACTATCATCCATCACAATTATTAGCTGCCACCACCAACGACCACCATCAACTACCAATACTAACAGTTATTGTTAGCCACCGTCACTACTAACTACTAGCTACTATCCACAACCAACATCTCCTCAGTTGGCACCATCAACCATATTATTTTTAAAAGTATTTTATTGATATAGTATTAGATTGTTAGTATTTTAGGTTAGTTTTATTTTTAATGTAAATAAAGACAATTTTTATATATTCACATGCTTAATTATTGAGTATTCAGATTTTAATATACATTTTAGTATTACCTTTTAGTTTTAATAAAAACAAATGAGGTCTAGTAATGATCACTCTACTTAATTGAATCTTCAGACAGAATTTAATTACCGCACAAAATTTGTTAGATTTTCGTATTCAAGCAAGTATAGAAAGTAAAATAAAGTAAATTGCAGTAAATGAGACATGCTATTTTAATACTGATTCAATAAGTCTATATATTTGTCCGCTTGAGTTATAAGGTGGTTATACTCTTGGTGGTAACATCACGTGCCACGTCAACGCTTTATTACTACCATAATTCCACGTAAAAAAAAAAGATAATACAAGAATTACTACATATATCCACCTCAAGCTTTTGTGCTGATTTCTTGGCCAGCGCAGGAGCTGAGCAGAAAATAGGATAGTAAGTATTGTAACTTTTGGCAGAATGGGAGTTTACGTCCCCCCTTCCCCTCCTCCAATTTTACTCCAATAATATCTACAGGTACATAAATCAACTTCTCACTTTAAGCCGCGGAGTTAGAATTTGAAATTTATGGTTTCGAATTAAAGTTGTTGGTTTTTAAATTAATAATAATTTATACATATTCAATAAATTTCATCAAATAAATATAAAGTATAAACCAAAACTAGTGAGTTGGACCGAATCCGTAATACGCTCACTAGCTCCGCCCCTGACTTTGAGAAGCAGTCAAAGAAGATCGATGGCTTTAATTTTGTTTGTTGACAGACTTCAATTTATTACTTCTAACAACCTTCTTTGATGCTTTTCGTTTGCCATGTTGGCAACTTGTCTCAAGAAGATATGGAACTCTCACCGCCACTCGTTTAGAAGTTGAATGTTATACTTTGCATATATTTTCTTTATATGTCAAACCAAAATACACCCTCCTTCCTTTAAGTGAAGTTGTTCGAATTTCATGAGTTCAATAAGTTGTTCTTTAATACATTAAAATGAATTGTTTAATTATTACTTTTTCTTGTGTCGAGAGTTTACCGGAAATAACTTCTCTATTCCTCCGAAGTAGGGGTAAGGTCTGCGTGCACACTACCCTCCCCAGACCCCATTTGTGGGATCTCACTGGATTGTTGTTGTTGTTGAATTGTTTAATTATTACAGTCTACGGTACTTTTTACGTAGTTTTCAAATATACATAAATTTTGTTTTAAAAAACTTAAAAATTTTATATTTATATGTACGGTCAAAATTAATAAGTTTGAATTTCAAAAAGCAAAAAATATTATATAAATTAATATATATGAAGTGCCACTTAGCAAAAATAAAGCCAAGACCACTTGTAATGTGAATAAAGGACTTCCTTTGCTAAATTCTTTACCTCTTTTCTTTGAAGTTCTTTGGTATTTCAAACGAATATAAATCAAACTTCACTACTTAATGCTCTCATAGACACTATCTCTTCTTACTGAAGTTAGGAAAAAAGGGACCTTTATTCCTAAAAAAGGAGAATTTTGGGTTCGAGCCGTGAAACCAGCTGCTGATACTTGCATCAAGGTAGGCTATCTACATTACACTCCCTTTTCCGGACCCTGTATAAACATGAAGTGCTTCAGTGAAACAATGCAATTTAAAATATTAATTAAAGTTTACTTTGTATGACACTTGAGAAGTGAAAAGTGACAAACATCTTGGAACAAAAAGAGAGTATTAACACTTGTAGATTTTCTTAAATATATTTTTCGAATATTCAGATAATCAGATTAGTAAGTAGTAAAACGACTTAGTAAAACTAGAGCTGGATTTTCCAGCTAGTTGATAGTGAGTAGAGCGGACTGTTGACCAAGCTGGAAATGTGATGGAAGCTAACTTGTCTCAAGAACAAAAGAAAAACCTTTGCACTTTCTGTTTTTAAATAAGTTGTGGAAATAAAAGAGAGATTCTGCCTTTCTCTTTATGCACAAACTCCAAATTGCATCACACATATACTCATGCAGAAGATAAGGTTGACTCGCAATCAATAAAAGTTCTTTGTTCAAAAACACCAACTTTACGAAACAACGCTTTCTGGAAACTTTGTTGTTGCTTGGAACAAGCGGTAGAACGCATTGATTCCATCATGAATAAGTGAATTTGAAGTTTTCTCCATTATAGGGATGGGTGGCATCGGCAAGACAACTTTAGCTAACAAAATTTGATGTGATCCATTCATTATGTCTCGCTTTGACATTCGTGCAAAAGTTACTATCTCACAAGAGTATTGAGTGAGAAATGTACTACTAGGCCTTCTTTCTACTATAAGTGGAATGACTAATGAATATTTTGAGCAAGATGATAGCCAACTAGCAGACCAACTACAAAAGCTTCTAAAAGGCAGGAGATACTTGATCATCATTGATGACATATGGACTACAGAAGCTTGGGATGATATAAAACTATGTTTTCCGGACTATACCAATGGAAGCTGAATACTCTTGACCACTCGGAATGTGGAAGTGGCTGAATATGCTAGCTCAGGTAACCTACCTTGTCAAATGCGCCTTTTAGATTTTAATGAAAGTTGGGATTTATTGCACAGAAAGGTCTTTGAGAACGATGGGTTCTCTCCTGAATTTGAAAAAGTTGGGAAACAAATTGCATTAAAATGCGGAGGATTACCTCTAGCAATTACTGTGATTGCTGGACTTCTCTCCAAAATTGGTAAAGCATTGGATGAGTGGCAAAGTGTTGATGAGAAAGTAAGTTCAATGAGATTGGCCTGGATTGCTCGTATATCGACTCAGTTTACTTATAGCACAAGCTATATCTGGTCGTGTACAATTCATGATATACATTAAGCATCCCAACACACGAGCATAATCCAATTGTGATATGCTTTGGCCTTTATTCTTTGCTAATGCAAGATTCACGTCAATTGGAGTCTTTGCAACTTTAAAGCCCAAGTGCTTGAATTTTTCAAGTACTGTCTTAATATAATGAGATTGTGACAATGCCAGACCTTGAGGAGTCTTATGGATCTTAATTCCCAGAATTAAATCAGCAACTCCCAAGTCTTTCATATCAAA